CTGGTCCCATCTGCCTTTGTCGAGAATAAAGCTATCCCAACCACTTTGTAAATGAAACATCCTCCCACTATTAATGGGATTGAGCAGATGTTTTCTGTTTGGATGGTCAGAGATGGGACAGCAAAGCCTGCAGCAAAAGAAAATATTTTTTGGGGGAAAAAAAAAAACAGAAAGCAGATATTTATGGAAATGATTATATCACTTCCCTCATGTCCCATTCAAATGCATGTCTCGCACACATGGCAAATTAGAGGTCATCCCTTCCAGTTTAGCGCATGTCTAAGTGCTTGTGCCAGCAATTTTTGTACTAAAACATCGTAAATAACACTGTAGCCCCTGGGATAAGGTGTTATAAATAGGACGTGTCAAACCCTGCTCCAACCAGCCTCTGGTTTTCCTGAAACCCTCTCTTTTCACCCGCCGGGCGGCTCAGCTACTTTTTAATTTGGCCATCCTGCGGGCTAACCGACTGACGCCTCTCGGCGAGGGCCTCTGTATTTCAACAAGGCCACAAAAGCCCCAGTCCTCAGGCAATCGCACACACAAAGCTCTCCAGCTTTTCTGAGTTGTTACTTTTTTGGAGCCCAGACTCCACCACCATCAGCAGAAGAAGAGAAAAGCCGGCCCCTGCCAGGACACAGCGGCCATGTCTCATCCGTCAGAAACCAAGGGGCCAGACTCTCCAGCCACTGGGTGGGCAGGGCCCGTCCAAAACACAGAAAGAAGGAAGAAAGAGAAAGAAAGAGTGGAGTGTGGGGGATAGAGGGTTCGAGAGATAAACAGACCACAGCGCCTCAACTCCTAATCACCCTGCGCTTCCGTTTCCAGACTCTATAATTAGAAGGGCCCCGTCCCTTTTTTCTCTGTATTCCCAGTTGACGCAAATGCTTCTTGTGGCTTGGCACCTCGTTTGGGGCGTGGGTTTTCAAGAGTTTACAGGCCCTGAGCCATAGCTCTCTGGCTTTCTGGTCGCTCTGATACAGCATGAATAGCTAACCACTGTCTTAATGCACACTTCACTTGGCTTCTCTTCTTCTCTCCTCCTTCAACCTACCGTACGACAATCTGCATGACCCCATCGCTCAGCCACCTCCCTCATTCCATCTCTTCATCATCTTTAAATATAACTCTTCCCCAGTACAAAACTTTGAAAAACTCTTAATTCTGAATGAATGTGCAAAACTTTTAGGCTTTTTCTTTCCAGAGAGGGAGTGTTTCCATCTCCCTCGCATGTGTTGCTAAATCTTTTAATCTCATGCCATGTCAGCCTCCTCTTTTCACATTTGACATGCCACCCAATAAAGCCCGGCCACTAATTAAAACCAACTGTAGCCTTTGCATAAACAATTCCATGGGGGAAAAACTTGGAGGAAAAGTACTAATTACTTTAATATCATTTATGTCAGGGAGTTGTCAAAAAGACTTATGTTTGCATATTTTTTCTTACAAGTCTTACACTCTATAAGTGATGTGTTTCCAACATTTTGAGTTACTGCCCCAATCTAAGGTTGTTACATCTCAAAGCTTCTGCTAAAGGTTTCGGGATGCGCTTGAAAAGCTGTGCTGTGTTTTTCCTAACTGAGCTAGTTTGGATCTGGGTTTGTTGTGGTGTGGTTTGTTGAGCATGTTGTTTATGGTGGAGGCCTATAATTTCTGCAGTTTGATGACCTTAAATAAAATTAGACCAAATGAATGGGCCTGTCAGTGGGGGTTACACTGTGGGGGTGAATCTAAGTGTGTACACACACACCCATGACCATACGCGGATGTCTGAATACATGGATGTTCTCTTTTACTGACAATCATCGTCGTGTCCGTCCTCAAGGAAGCACACGACTCAAACCCTCCTTTTAACCACACGCTATCATGCAATGAAGGCTGCATTTTATGACATCGACAAATGATGGCTGACTTTGTTTTAATGGGTTGGTTTGTTTGTTTTAAATGCACAGTAATTCTGTCATGCTGTCTAGCCTTTGCTCTGCGCAGTTGGTAGTGTTTGCTCTCTTTGTGAGAGCCGCTGGAGCTAAATACAGTTTAAATATTTTGGTTGGCCTGACTGTGTATCGGTTTACTAGTGTCAACACCCTGGCATGATTTAGAGTATTTTGGTCAACTTTGCCAGGAAAAGAAGTAGATATTTTCGTTTTCTCTAAATTTTAGATTATAAAAAAAACTAAACTAATTATTATTCTATACATTTTTGGATTAGTTATGTTAACTATTGATCAATTACAATTTACTTGGGAATTAAAGCGTGTTAGTGACCCTAACCGTTCAATTTTCAAATGATTGTATTACACTGTATCACCTTTGTAAGATGAAACTAGTTAAAGACTCGGCAAGGATATTGATATTTAAAGGGGCCCTATTAAGGTATTTTTCAGGTTCATATTTGTTTTTTGTATCTCTACTGTGACATGTTTAAAAAAGTGATTTATTTTTCTCAGCCACTGAGATGCATGCAAAAAAACCTTTATGATACACTACAACAAAGGGAAAACACAAAGATTTCCACATATGTTGAAGACAACATACCATTCAAATACTTTCCGTCTTGATTCATAGAAAATATAAATATAAAACCTGGCCTTATTTTGTCAGTTTAGCTCCAGCAAATGTAGTATGTAAGCAAACACTTCACATTAAATATTCTAGCCACTCTTTTTAAATATTCTAGCCACTCTTTTCACCCTCTGTCTGAAACCAGAGCCCGGCCCGGCTCTGTTTAGATTGGACAACCTCTTAAGGCCCGGACACACCAGGCCGATTATTGGCGTCGGTGGGCGTCAGGCCGACGATGAGCGTCGACACGCCCTACTCAGATTGGTGTGTCCCGCACCGTCGGGTCTTTTCAGCCGGGCCGGCGCCTTTTCCGCCGAAAACCCCCAGTCGGCCAAACAAATCACTCTGATTGGCTGTTCAGCTGGCCTGGGAGTACGCTCATCCAGTCTACATGTGTTTTGTAGACTTGGAGAAGGCGTATGACCGGGTTCCCAGGGAGTCACTGTGGGAGGTGCTGCGGGAGTATGGGGTGAGGGGGTCTCTACTCAGGGCCATCCAATCTCTGTACTCCCAAAGCGAGAGCTGTGTCCGGGTCCTCGGCAGTAAGTCGGACCCATTTCAGGTGAGAACCCTCACCTGAAATGGGTCCGACTTACTGCCGAGGACCCGGACACAGCTCTCGCTTTGGGAGTACAGAGATTGGATGGCCCTGAGTAGAGACCCCCTCACCCNCGCCTCACGTCCCCTGCGTCTTGGCCAACAGTCTCACTGGAACACACCGCAAAGACTTCAGCCGACGGCCAAGTAGCACGTAGGAACTGCGCATGCGTGAGTGGCAATACATCTCCTTACCAGCAGGCGGCGGTAGTGTATATTCGTCATTCAAAAGAGACAACAACCGGATGACAGACTGCGTGATAACCGAGAGAAGAAGAACAGACTGCGTTATATCAACAAACAACAAATAGCGTGTGCGTTCCATTTTCACTCTACAATGAGAAGCTCATGGGACTTTCCCGAACCTGTGTCGAGGGCTGGAGTTCAATGAAATCTCAGATTTGCCTTCTTAATAGTTTGTTTGGGTCCCTCACTTCCGTTTCGCTTCTCATGCACTGATTCGCTAGCTGAACAGCCATCCATCCATCCATCTTCTCCCGCTTATCCGTGGTCGGGTCGCGGAGGTAGCAGTTCCAGCAGAGAGCCCCAAACTTTCTTTTCCCTGGCCACATCAACCAGCTCTGACTGGCCTCCCCTAGTCCGGCT